AGTCCACACCGTGCTAGCTGTGCCCTGCACGTGTTTTGGATATACCAGCTGGGACCAATGTGAGGAAGTTGAGTTGCTAGTTCAGGGGGAAGCAGCAGGAGGGAGGCCCCCGGCGGTGGGGTTTGGCCCTGGGGCGGTGTGGGTGAGGAAGGGCCGTGGGGCTGGTGGCGGGAGGGCCTCGGAAGAGGCCCTCGGTGGCTCCTGGTGGCCGCCGCGGGGCTGATAGACGCGGAGCGGCACCCGCCTCGCTGGCTGTGGCTTGGCAGCGGTGCCCTCCGGCAGCGCGTGACAAAACACAGTGAAAAGGAGATGTCACTTCCCCTTTTCAGGGAGCGGGGGAAGTGACTGGCACTGGCCAAATGGGAATCCAGGTACTCTCAGTGCAGAGGCTCTGTGCTGCCTGTTGCCCTGGGCGGCCTAAACTAGGCAGCTCAGCCCAGACACCATTTAACCGCTCTTCCTTGCTGAATGGGGCTCTACCATGCTCACCTTCCGTCCTCCTCTTCAAGAAGCTCCTGCAGGCCACGCAACAGGGCACCGCTGGGAGCAGCTGACAGCAAGAAGTCAGCGGGGCTGATTTGGGGAAGTCGGGAGGTTTGGAGCTGTGAAAGTGGAAGCCAGCTCAGAAAGACCCTCCGGGAGGGGAAGTGAGAACAGACCGATGAGTAAGGGGCAGATGCCGGGGCTGTTTGTGCTGACTTGCTCCTCTGCCCACGTGCTCCGTGCGTGCCCTCGTGCGTGTCTGCAGCCAGCCGCTCTGCCGCTTCCCGCCTCTCTCCATGCACGCAGCTGCCCGGCTTCTGGCTTGGGAAGCGCTGGAAAGCAGCCGAGAGGCTGCTCACTGCCGCCTCCGTGTACCGAGAACATCTGAAATACCTTTTGGCCCCGAAAGTGTGGGCAAGGCATGAAATTCTTAATTTAAATAGTGTTCCTTTCATGTAATAGTTCTTAGAGTAGCTGGAAGGCAACAGTAGCAGCAGCTTGAAAGCCATCATTAAATGTATTTATACAGTGTCTTTCATGACAAATTCCTGGGCCTTCGTGTTCTGTGCAATACAAGTAGCGTTTGTGCTTTCCCTCTTCAGTCTCCACCGTCGCCCACGCTCCGTAGCTACACGCACCGCAGGTATCGTGCTGGATTGTGCCTGGGCACTCAGACCACGCTTCTGCCCTAAGGCAGCGTGTCACTTTGGGCATGTACTTAATAAAACTTCTTGTAGCGTGTTCTCTTTTCCTTATTTGAGTGAAGTTGTGGCTGCGGCAGGATGGGAGCCGGGGCCAGCTCCCTTGTACGTGCCATCGCCAGGGAAGAGTGCAAGGTGGTGAGGGCTGCCTCAGCTCTGTCCCTCAGCACGAGCCAGCGCAGAGAGTCTGGCCTGAGGCGATACCAGTTAATGGCTSAGGGGAAAAGAAGTTCAGAAAAACAAACAACATGGTGTGGGAGAGCCTAGCACTTGCCCTGTGCCCCATGCTCTACCTATCCCTGCTTGAGCAGGGGGTTGGACCTCATGATCTCTAGAGGTCCCTTCCAACCTTAACCATTCTGTGATTTTAACTTGTCTAACCAGACATGCAGTGGAGCTTAATTTAACTTACTTGGAGCTTACACAGGTGCTTTGGTCAGGTATTTGAAACAACAATCTGAGAAGTGTATGCCATGTAATGTCGATGCCAGAGGATTGCTGATTAGGGGATGGGAACTGAGTGGCTTAGAGAGCCCTGGCTGCACCTTAGGTCAGTCCAGGACGGCAGGAATCGAGGCCTGCCCAGGGCACCGCTCACCCTGGTCAGAAACGCTTGGTCCCCTTTCCATGTTTCATATAAGGCAAAATGCTGTTAGAATCACCAGTTAGCCAGAGTGAAGTTCRTGAATCCAGAGGAGCAAACTTTGTTCCTTGTCAAAGCTTTGCAAACCTGAAATAGTGGAAGTGAAGAGCCTTTGAAGACGCTTATATTTATGTAAATGCACAGCGAGGCTGTGGGGTGTTACTGTAACAACAAACACATAAGAATATCGATCATAGCTAATTCTTAGAAAGAAATGGGTAAGACTAGATCTTCAAAACAATTCAGAACTAGTTTTACTTAGTGTAGATGCTGCTCTGCTTTAACAAATCATTCTAGTACAGTACTGTAACTTGTAACTGGCCACTTTTCTGGTTTTTAGTAGGCAATTGCTTATTTGCATAATTTGATTTTTCATATTAATGAGTTTTGACATATATACATATGTAAATCTATATAATACTATAATGTTAATGTATACTGTTAACCGCAAGTACTTGAAGTCATGAAAGGGGCTATTAAAAAGGAAACAAGGATTTACAAAGACTAGGGAAAATGCAGTGACCTCTCAGCTAATTTGAATGACTGCTTGATCTACGTCAAAAACTCCTAAAAATGAATTTGAAGGTTTGTTTTTGAAATTAGACAGTTCCTACATTTATTTCCCTGCAGAAAGCAAACTGCTTATCTGCCACTTAGTAAGAACAGCCAAAGAGRACAATTTTTCCAAGGCGTCCGGCATTTCTTGCTGTCTTGATGTACGTATAGTACTGATTTATTATCCTTTTTTTTGGACTGGACTTGTAGCCTATAATGAGTCAAATCATTGACAAAAATGAACTGGATTCTTTGTGTCTTGCAAATGGGAACTCTGATACAGAAGAGCCCTGGTAGATGCTTGCCCTGTCTGGATTTATTTAATCTCTGCCAATATTTCTGTAAGATATGAGAGAGCCTTTATCTTATGGAAGAATAAATGCCAGTCTCTGTCTTTACAAATTCTTTGCAGAGCGCAATTGTTCTGATACAGTACACATTGCTCTGTGTATTGAACTAGAATATTTATCCATGAAACATGGAAACTGTCCTAAGTTTCTGAGCTACTTGGAAGGAACATGTGTAATGTGTGCATTCCTTGCAGAACCGCAGAGTAGAGTTTGTGTTTAAAGTAGCCATTTACCCAACCAAGTACACAGCATAGCATCGAAGAAATGTCACTATTTCTATTTTTAAACTTTGCTGCTGCGTTACTGCAGAGAAGTGCGAATAGAGGGCAGATTTTAATGGGCTCTTTGTTTCTTTTCCTGCTCCATGCAATATAAAGTTCCCTTTTCCCTGCGTGTTGGCAAACCTCTCCTTCTGTGAGGCTTTCTAAGATAAGGGGGTGACGCCCCTTATGTGCCCTTCCTAAACAACCTTTTTTTTCCCTTCCTCAGGAATTTTCTTCAGCGCTTAATTGCTAATTGTATGGAAGCTGTTCTTGGGGAATGGCCAGCTTAGGGTTAGGCACCTTCAAAAAGCACTAAAGTGCAAAATACAGTAAATTCGTAACTTCCTTACTTTGTTCAAATGTAAGAAATTAATTGGCATAATATGTGTATGTTAGTAGCAGTTAAAATAGATCTGAGTTTTGCTTTGGCTGAGTCAAATAGGAGATATAAGCAGAGACTTACCAGTTCCTGCAAAATTCCTGAGAGAGCAGAGAGGCATTTGTTTAACTTGCAGCTTCTGAACTGCTACTCCTACCAGGTCTGCTTCAGAATCTGTAGCACTTAAATATACTCACTAGAGGTATTGAAATATTTCAGTATTTCATATGGAATTGAAAATTAAAATAAATATATTGTGGCATGTCTTAATAATGTATTTCAGGCTGAACTTCCAAGCTTTGGAACTTCTTAAATTTTGAGATTTATTTATTGTTCTTAAGAACACTTCTGCTGTTCCTATATCTTTAGTCCCTTAATTTGTCTGGTCTTATGAGACCTGCATGATAGAACTTTTCTATTCAGAGCTGCAGATAAAATTAGAAAAATCTAATACTTGTTACTGTCATACACCTCAGTTTTAAGGTTAAGTGCCCTGAAATGAAACTTAAGATCGAGGACAGCATTATGGTATTTCATCATTTTTCACAAAAACAAAGCTCCCAGAACTGCTTCCTAATTGCCAGGTTGCCATGAAAACTTGCTTTGTGTTCCTTTTTTTCTGAAATGGATGTGCATATGTTTATACTTGAACTGATTTGACTTCAGCAAAAGTCATGGTAAAGGGATTATATAGAGTTAACCATGAACCTTTTATCTGCTTAAGTACCTTTCTTGTAAATCTGTGCAATGAGAGTTTGTGCGTAAAAATGCTTTATGCTGAGTTTCTTTAACTGCATTTGTAAGAAGAAAATTGAAACCTTTTGTGTGAAGTGTGCTAGATGAGGTATCTTGATTTTGTAGCTCCTTACTGCCAYAAATCGGTAGCAAGCTGGAAGAACTTATTCCAGCCATCTTAGTGTTTTGTGTCTCATAAAATAGTTATATGAAAATGGATGTGTCTTAGAAGTGTAGGTGAGTTTGCCAGTCTGTCAGCAGTGGCTTGTGACAGCTGGTGTCATGACAGAAGAGATGCAGGTCATCTCTGAAGTTGCATTTGCCACAGCCTCACCTGCGAGGTGGTCAGCAGGACCCCGAGGGTGCTGGTTTACCTCTTGCCGCCCTGGCTTGTCCTCAGCTTGCAGAAGATGCTGACGTAAGTCACTGAACATCCATTGCTCTTGATTGTGTAGAATGCAGCTGAGAGACTGGGTTTGTTAATCATAGAGAAATTTCAGCAGTCTTACCTAAATGRCACACATGGCACACAGGACAAAATATAATGTTAAATATAATGTTAGCACCCTACAGCTCTGCATGCAAAGATTTCTGGAGTGGCAAGTGCAGAAAAATGCAAGAGCTTCCTCCTAAAAAAAAAAAAAAAAGATCTTAAAAAAAATTCTTTGCAATTATTGGAATATCTCTCAGCCTTTCTATGTCTCATGATCTTYTTGGGATTGACTCTATGGCCCAGGATTCTCAGTGTAGAAGATGCCATGAAACAACTACTTTAGTTTTAGCAAACTTCTGAATTTGGGTTTAGCAAACATAACAGAAAGCTCTCAGAGGTGTTCCAGGTGACTYGCTTCTTTAGGATTCTTTAACTCCATTCTGAATGTGCCTCCTTACTCTGGAGGTAAGAGGAATATGGCTGTCCAAAAGCCTCACAGGAGCTCTGAGAATCAATGGTCCAGATAAAAAGCTTGGGCAGGATCCTGTCAAATTTCATGGTAGCTGAAACCAAGAAGTTGGRAGAAGGGTTAGGGTGATGTGTCTACACATATGTGCTGCCAATATATGAGCATATGCACATATATTGATGCATTTTCTACTGTATTTTACATATTTTATATAAGTGTAATACAAGTTTTAGAACAGTTTGAGATCTTCCCCTTAATGAAGAAAATGTTTGTGGAAGACTCATCTTGGGTGGTTACTTACATCTTCTCTGCTCTGTGGCACTAGGTAACACAGTGGTCTATACCAAGTGGGGAGTTGTGTAATGCATGACTAATGTTTAAACTTTAAAGTCCTTATCACAGACTTCTTGTTTCAATATTTAATGGAGGCAAAAACGCTAGTTGCTGCATTAACAAAAGCCAAATATATTTCTTTAGGGATTAAAGAAATATTTTAAGGACTCCACTGTGGGATTTGTATTGTTCATTTATCTCCTTTAATTACCTTCCAGCTGTTGTCAGCCATGAATGTCTTGCAATATAGTTTTGTTCATAGTAATTACAGGATAATATGCAGGGCAGAGGATGGGAGTAAGGAAAATCAAGTTCTATTTCTGGCTGTTCTTTAATTTGCTTTATAACATGCAGCAAACTAATGAATCTCTTGTGTTCTTGGTTGTGTCTTCCCAGGTTTGTATATGCAAAATACTTCGAGATACTTCAGATAATGAATTGAAATGCAATATTTTTTATTATTTTAATATTGGAACATTGTACTTCTGATCTTTACACAGGTCACTTAGCTTTTGTTTTGCATATTTTTRTATAAAAGGCAGTTTCTAACTGACCTCACAGTTGATTTAAAGCATAAATAAGGCAAAAAAAGCTTGCACAAGGAGGCTGTAAAATATAAGTATGCTCAAAAGTAGCTGTTCTTGTTGAATGATTAAAACATTAAAATAGTCAACAAACTACTGGTGATGTGTGTCTAAGATSAGTTGTAATTCTGTAGAGAGTCCAGCAGACTAACTGCTACTTGGAAGCTTTTCTTTTTGTTAGGGTAAATGATAAAATAATCTAGGTATAATCTAAGGAATAAAAGATGTGAACAAACGTCACTACAGACTTCTTTTAAGTGTTTCAGTCACTCAGAGGTTTTAATTTATTTTTTGCTCAGGAAAAAAACCTGAAATATGTGGTCAGAACCCAGTCCTTGCATGAGGCACTGCAGGAGCTTCGCTGCCATCACCTGCCCCTCAGTGACTTGGGCAGGTGCAGTGCCAGCTCTCCTGGCCTCCTCGCTGGTGTCACCACTGGGTCCTCCCCACAAGACCCAGTGTCCGCACGCAGAGCTAGGAGCTCCCATGTCGTTGGTGATGGTGGTCACCTGAACCCTGTTGCTCCGCACCAGCCATCCGGAGGAAGGARTCACTGGCCCTCTGGAGCCGAGCAGGACGTTGGCTGTCACCATCTCGCCTTGGGGACCAGCTGTGTGTCCTCTCGCACGGCCCCGTGAGCCCATGAAGGGGCACAGAGGGGCTCCTGTGCTGGCGCGTGCGCGATCGCTGTCACCTGCGCTGCCTGCTCAGCAGCAGCCACGCTGGCCGCCTTCCTCGAGGCTGGGTGCCCCAGAGCCCTGCTGGCGCCCTTCAACATGATGCTCCTCCACCGTGTCTTCCCCTGGCACCTGACAGAGGGTGGTATCAAATGGCCGCCTGCAGAGCGGGCGCTCTGCCTTGGTGGCAGCCCACTGCTGGATGCAACCAAGGCAGAACTGGTGCAGGCAGGCGGGCGGGCAGGCAGGAGGTCTTGCTGTGTCCAGGCAGATGGGGCACATCTCCTCTCCATAGGTGCTTGGCTCCATTGCCCCAGGCACCTGGCTCATGCTGGCTCCTGGCGAAAAGCTGCTGTGTTCCGGAGTCTTCAGCTGCTGAGGCCCAGCCCTGCCAAAGGAAGGGGACAGAGCTTGTGAGCATCCCTGTGGGCAGAGAAAGCAGCAGCAGAGCAGCTGCCCCGCTGGAGCTCCCCCGAATGCACAAATCTTTCCTGTCAGGGCTCGGAACCCCTCGGGAGCCCTGCTGGCAGGGTGGCTGGGCAGAGGGTCCCCTGCAGCCCGGCTGTACCAGGCTTCCTCTGGGAACACTTCCCTTGGGCAAGTGGGGCTCCTGGGCCAGACGCCCCCATGTCTAGCGAGGGGAAGGGGAAGGTTTTACTTCCGCTGCTGCCTGAGGAAGGGATGGGCCCTGCGACCCTGACAGAAGAGCTAGCAGCTCCAAACCACTGCAGCAGCCCAGGCCCCCCTCACGGTACCGGCCATAGTCGGAGCAGCTCAGGTCACCGCAAAAGCCTTGGCTGCAGCTAACCTCATGAATCTTCAAGGCTCTCCAAGGTCCAACCACCCTCTCCTTGAACCCCGTGTGTGGCACAGAGGCACAGCAGGGTCTGCAGCCACCATTTCAGCCAAGCTGCACTGCTGCTGGCTGCCAAGCAGTGCCCTGGCCCTGAAAGCGCCGCCCTGGGGGCCCGGACGCTTCGCCTGCCCCCCTGGACGTAAGTGTGGCAGACGGAAAGTGAGCAGAGCCCGACTCTGCATCAAATACTGTGTTCAGTTTTAGGCCTTTCCTTACAAGAAAGATATTGAGGTGCTGCAGTGTGTCCAAAGAAGGGTAACGAAGCTAGTGAAGAGGCTGGAGCACAGACCTTGTGAGGAGCAGATGAAGGAGTTGGGGTTATTTAGTGTGGAGAAGAGGAGACAAGGGGAGAGCTCTACAACTACCTGAAAGAAGGGTGTAGTATGGTGGGGGCCGATCTCATGTCCAAAATAAGCAGGAGACTTAATTGGGGTCAGACTCTTGCAGAATGCGTATGGACGCACAGTTCTCTTAATTCACTGCAGGAGAAGTTCAAGCTTGTCCTTGAACAAATGTATGGCACTAATGCTTCCTACCTTGTAAAGAGATTGAACGCGGACACCGATGCCTCTCAGGGCATCACAGGACGTTTGGGTCACAGTCAAGAAAACACATGCATGTCAGTTATGTTGGGGTGAGCACAGCCCCCAGTTCGTTGTGTCCGGGGAGTGGCTGAGGAGAAGTGGGAAGCTGCCTGCACTGCCATTCCTTCAATGTCTTACAAGCAGCGTAGCTACTTCAGCAAAAGGGCCGAGCATCTCCAGCAAACTTTTCTTCTAAAGTGATTGAACGTTTACGTTAAACAACCGCATTGGATTTTGTGGTCTGCATAAATGTATTTGATGAGCCTGGGAAAAAAAAATAGTAATGAGAATATTTCATTGTTCTATAAGCTGCTATTAATAGTTACAAAGTCTTGTATCAGATGAGGTGGTAAAAAGCAGCACATGGGTGTTATAAATGTGCAGCTGAAAGGCATGTCTCTGCTCTCATGAAAGCTTCCTTCTGCTAGGAATAGCAGAATAAAATAACATAAATCAACTTAGGAGATTATTTTAAAACTGTATTAAGTTGAAGTGATGATAATCAAACCCACTTTTTAAAACTTTTGCTTTTTTTTAGTGCATTTTTCTTTCTTTTCTTTTTCAGAATTTTTGAATCACAATTTCATAATACTTGAAATTTTGCCAAAAGACCTTAGACTAATTTCCAGATAGACTTTCAACCTAAAATGAAGGGGAGCAGTATTAGTCAAGGAATATGAACAATAAAGGGAGTTTAGCAATTTACATTTAACTGTGTTGTGAACAATTCCTTTATTTATGCACAAAGCATGTAATATTCACCAGAATTTATTCGTTAAGGTCAGCTGTAGGTAATAAAAATGGCTGATACCAGCAGGATTCCTAATATAGCTCACGTATCTAATTCTATTTTTCTTTTTCATTTAAGGGGAAAAAAAAAGTCACCGAATTATTTTTTTGTGTGTACTGTGTAGTACAGATTTCAGAGACTTCATGTGGCACCTGCTTGCAATACAAGAATACTATAGCTGCCCATCTAGTTGTATTTTCATCCTTTGAAAATTAGAAATGTTTTCTTTCTTAGAAAGATTTTGTTTCAAATGCTGATTCAACTTTAAACAAACATTTACTTGTAATGCTGCCTCTTGGGTTTATAACTTAAGAAATTGCTGTAGAATATTAAAACTTCCTTGAAAACTGTAGAAATGCCTTTTTTTGGTACTGTCTTGGGGTTCTACTTTTCTCTTAGTAACATCGGCCCATCTCCAAAGGTGATAATAGGAGCTGAGCATGTACACGAAGGGGAAAATTCCCCTCGGTGATTTTGAAGAGTTGCTGTGGCAGAGGCTGTTGTTGGAAGGAAGGTATTTTCAGCTTTATTGCTGTGCCATTTCTAGACCGTTTAATAAAAGTGAGAGAATGTTGAGTCTTTTGCCACTTCATAAGCTAAAGAAAAATGATACAAAGCATGAAAGGAAGTGTGAAAAGGAAAGATTTAATTGTCTGATTTCATTCCAAGTATGTGAAAGGGGATACATTTTTCAAAAGCTCCTGAACTTAATTAAAAAGTGAAAATGCTTTAACAGAGCAGAGGTCTCTGAAAGCAGCACAGCACCTCGTCCCGTCCCTCGCCAGCCTCTTGTGCTGCTCCTCTGCGTGTAACRTTGCCCCGTCCCCTTCCTTTCAGCAGGCTTACACTGAACCTTGGTGCTTCTCTCTAAGCTATTCACCATAAGCAATCATTTAGCGTAAATCTGTTCTAATTTAGCACTTTTAGCGCAGAGCTGGTGTTCACATACTCTGCATACCAAGAAAAAAATTMTTCTGCCCTCTTACTGCCTCTCAAATAGAGAACAGCTCTTTATTTTATCTTTTTTTTTTTCAGCTTGGGGAAAAAATGAAATGCCTGAACTTGCTTGGAAGCTGGAAATTTTAAACTTACAAAGGAGCTGCTAAAAATACCTGTAACTTTTGACAGCAGTTCACACAAGTTGAGCAGCTGAGTATTTTAACTCTACCCAATTACTATGGCTGCTCCTCCTGGTGCCCCGGAGGAACTGAGTGTGTTTTTCCCCTGTCTGAGGCRCTGTGAGCAAGTGGGTAGGACAGGGGAGGGCTTCTCTCCTTCGAGTTTCGTTTTAATTGAAGAAATATTCATGTAAAGTATGGGATGAAAATTACCTTGAGAAACAGAGGTGCCTTTCTAAGGACAAGAGCAGGGAGGATGTGACTCAAGAGGTGGAGAGAGACCCTCCAGAGCCAGTGATAGTATCGGTGGTGCAGCGTATGGTGGGGGCCGCCTGGCTGTGCCTGGTGCACTCGGGGCAGCCTTGGCATGTCTGGGGACAGCCTTGGCCCAGCTGGGGACAGCCTTGTCGTAGCTCAGTGCGATGCGAGGGACCATGTGCAACGGCTGCACGTGTGAGCTGCGCTTTGAAGGGCCTCTCATGTAGGCCCTTAGGGTTCGAGGCCCTTTCTGTTGAGCCAGGGCTGATTCCAGCACCCAGGTGGCTTCACCGTTATGATCTTCCAGTGGCGGGAGCCCCTCGTTACAAACCAAGCAAGTCCGAACTCTGAATCCCCCTCGGTGGGAGCCGTTCTGTGTGACCGGGACAACAAACTCACCAAGCAGGTGACCTGGGAGCCGTGCAGCTAGTTCCGCTACCCAACTCTTCTCTTCATGCTAGCTAAAGTGTGAAATTTTGTATGAATCACTTAGTGGAAATTATTTCTCATGATGCTGGGCATATTTAATGTATTTTTGTTAAATTCTGAGGGGAATATTCTARTGTGCTTTAGGGTGGAAACAGAGGCGAAGCCAGGCAATGAAGATGCAGGGTGTGAATCCTGTGCAGGGGAAGATAGCTGGGGCTGTCTGGGGATTTCTTSAGGGGGTGCCTGGGGATTTCAAAATGAGGATGAATTCTGATAGAATCAATAATTATGACAGCAGTAGGTAATACAGACTGGACTGCAGCAGAATGTATGCTGGTAAAAAAAACAACGCATAGGTGATATGTGAGACCTTATTTTAATTTTTGCTGGTGAATACTTTGAGTTAATGCCATGTAAAATATTAATTGTGGTGAGCTTTATGGAAGTGACAACCTTCTAAATCTTAGCATAATGTATAATAAATGAACTTCATCACATAACTCTCCCACAGCTATTCATCTTTTAACAATGTTTCTGCTGTTCAATATTGTTMAAATTATTTGAAAATTTATTTCATCTTTGATAGAACAATCTTAACTGCAGCATCTTAATTTAAATTTTGTTTCAGACAAATGGTCAGGTTAAGTAACATATTGYCTCTCATCAGCTTTAAACGGCTTGCTATAATTCTTTTGTGCATTATTCCTGGGCTACAGGCTTGGTTTTGTAACAGCAGTTAATTGCTTTAAATCAGCCAAAATGGGGAAAGATCAAGCAGGATATAGTGGACATCCAGAATATTAATAGTTCATCAGTCTTTTATTAACAGTCTGCTTTACTTCAAAATGTAAGTGTGTAGGCAAACACTAATGCTTGTGTTT